ACATAGACAGAGGGAGAAGCAGACTCCCCACAAGGAGCCTGATGCAGGACTCGATCCCCGATCCTGGAATTACAACCTGAGTTAAAAGGCAGATGCTCAACCCCTGAGCCACCCAGGCATCCCAGATGAGCCTCATTTCTTAATGTGTCAACAACCTTTAGGATCTGGTGTTCTCTCAAACATTTTATACTAGTTACTCTTTAAAGACTTTTGCCTTGGCTCCATCTAACTGTTCCGTTAGAATGGTCTTCTCTTTCATCTTTGCATGGCTGACACCTACATATATTTCAATGTTCAAATGTTACCTCCTCAGGAATCTTTCCCTCATCCTTAGTGGAGTGTTGCAGAGATTACCCTGGATGCCTTTATTTAATACTGGGTTTATGTTTGTTTCTAACATGAGATGTGTACTCCTCAAAGGCAGGCATTAGATCTAGTGTATCATCATCATTAGTATGATGCCTGGTTATTAATAGATAATAAAAGATGTATTGAAATGATTGGATTATTTATTGAACACAGTATTATTTTTAAAAGTATAAACAGTATAAATAAGTATCATGGAAGTGAGTTATTAATTTCAACTGAGAAGCTAAAAAAAAAACTTCATGTAAAATTCAGTGATTTAGTGGAGTCTTGAAAGAAGTCCATAATGAGAGAAGTAGGGGATGAAAAGTGCAAAATGAGACTTTTCACATGGGAAAAGTTCCTGAGTTATGATGTATTGCATAGAAAATAAAGGGCTCATTAAGGTATCTCATTAATGATTGATGAGTAAATATGGGAGTAGATCATATGGGGCCTTGAATACCATGATAAAGAATTTGTTATTGTTTCCATCAACAATGGGAATATGTGAAGGGATTTGAAACAAAAAAGGAACAAAATTAGACCTTAAGTTTCTTTCTTTTCTTTAAAAATTTTATTTATTTATTTTAGGGTGGTAGAAATCACGAGGGGAGGGGTGGGGCAGAGGGAAAGGGAGGCGGAGAAGCAGACTTCCCGGATGAGCAGAGTGCAGGACGAGGGGCTTGATCTCACGTCCTGAGATCATGACCTGACCCAAAGGCAATCACTTAACCTGCTGAGCCACCCAGGGGCCCCTAGACCTTAAATTTCTTTACTAAACACCTTGAGGGTTGGGCTTTTTTGTTTGTTTCTTGCTCACTATTTTATTCTCAAATAAAATGTGACTTTCGTGAAAGTAGGAACTCATTATATATTTGAGTAAACAAATATGTGTTTTAGAACAGTACCGTCTGATATATCTTTCTGCAATGAGGAGAATTTTCTGTATCTGTGCTATACAATATAGTAGCCACTAGACACATGCAGCTATTGCTTGCTTTAAGGAACTGAAGAATTGAATTTTTAATGATATTTAATTTTAATTAATTTAAATTTAAAGAGCCACATGTGACCAGTGGCCGTTATGTTGGACAAACAATATAGAAAGTTTTCCCTAGCAGAGTCCCAACAGAAAACAGATGGAACACTCAAATTAGGATAATTCAAGGAGAATTTATTTATAAGGAGACTTTTTTTCCCAATGTGTGGGCAGCTTTAAGGGAACCACAAAAGAGAGTACAATTAACTGTGGTGTGACATGGGAGCCATGGTGAGACAGAATTGATCCATCAAGACTCATAGTTAAGATTATAAGCCTGAATCACATTGTGACAGTATTTACAATATGCAATACTTTTACTGAAATTTCATTGAATAGAATCTATGTTCAGAACTGTTCTTTTCAGTGAAGTGTCTCCTGACCGTTTATTTACTGATGAGGAATGTGATTGCTTTCCCTACATAGTGCTGATCTGTTCCGTGTTTTCTCAGCACTTTTCCCTCTGATACTCCACTGTAAGTGGTACCTTTTCCTTTTGCAGGGCTGGGCTAACTTCATGGGGGCTCCTGCCAAGGCTCCTTTAAGAAGCATCCTCTCCTCTAAGCACCTAGAATGTAGGCAGGCTCTGACTGTTATCTGTGGTTCTGTTTTAATATCCTGCCCTTTCCTTCCCTCACTTCAGCATACACAATTCACCTTCGGTCCTAGCCCATTGCTTGATGATTTGTTCAGGCTTTGAAAACAGAAGGAATGAAGGCTTTTAAGCAGGATGGGGCTATTTCTCCTTGCTTTATTTATTTTTATGCCATGCAAAAGGAATAAAGAGGCATAAAATGGCTTGACTGAATCCAATAAATCGGGATAAATAGAGCAAGGACCCAATAAAAACCTGGAGGTGAAAGAGAAGAAAGGTGGGGGTGGGGGGAGACAGGGAAGGAAGAAGGGGAAACTTTTTTTCTTCCTGTAGTGATAGGGACTGTTTGTTATTACCTAGAGAACAAAATGTCTTTGACCCAATGAAACATTTTAAACAGAGATTAAGCTCTGGGTCGAAATTAGGAAATCATCTTTATACTCTTTATTTTATCCCATCAGGTTGTCACCTCCTGTCATCCTTTATTAAAGTTTTGTATGCCACTGCTGCTTGCCCTGAGAAGGTTAACATCTTTTACTCATCTGATGAATCTCATCACAGAAGCTAGAGAGTTTTTATGGTCAACGCAACAGGAATCCCCTGTATTATTTCTGATGTCCTGTGTGAGGGACAGTGAGGGGGAGGTAGTTCTTCAGTCTGTTTCACTCCTGACCCCTTTTACTAGCTCTGCTTTCATGAAGTTGAAAGCGACAACCAAGAGCTACACTGCATGAAACTGGAGAATACAGGCTAGGATCTTGAGGTAAAATTAGAAACTGTCTTCCAGCCCATTGTGTGTCTGTTTATGACATTGCCTTCCATGGCTCTGCATGAACTTTTCATAATTCTCCACTGCTACCAGAGATAATGCTGGGTAGGAGCTGTGAAGGCAGCCACCACTTTCATCTGGGTAATTGCCACCATTGCTTTTATTGCTCTGACATCTAGAATTTTATTTGTCTCTATTTCTTCCTCCTTCTTCTCTCCACTTATTTCATTAGATACAGTCTCCATCATGTACACATCGCACAACTCATCTTCAAAAAGAAAAAGTGGTAAAAGACTTAGTAGTCCTCTATTGTTTTCCCCTAGGAGGCATCTAGAAATGTGTGCAGCCAATATTATTGGAATTTAGTAGGCGGGGACCCATGGATGCCATAGTGTATAAAGTGGTCTCAAATGATGGTGATTTTTTTTTCCATCTTAAATATCAGTAACATTGTTGCTAAGAAAACCTCCCTGTAACTGAGGTTAGGTGGGTATCAGCGACCTCAGCTAATAGAGGATTTTAGCTGTGCCTTGATAGGTAAATGCTAAAATCTCCTCAAGAATCAAGTATGACACCTTCCTGGCATTTTCTAGGCCCCTAATAAAACTATGTTGTGTGTGTGTGTGTGTGTGTGTGTGTGTGTGTGTGTTTTTAAGATTCCATTTATTTATTTGAGAGAAAAAGAGACAGAGGACAGCAGCAGGGGGGAGGGGTAGAGGGAGAGGGAGAAACAGAGGGTGGATCTCAGGACCCCAGGATCATGAACTAAGCAGTTGCTTAACAGATTGGGCCATCCAGGCACCCTTGTTGTGTTTTAAATCAAGTTGTTCACTTATAAACTAGTTGATACCATTCAATAAGTCCTCTGCAAGTTACTTCAGGAATAGAAAAAAAAAAAGCTATGCTTGTCAATATCAAGATTCTAAGAGTATTCTAGGAGTGATGAGTGTATTGGGAAATTTTCAAAATACTATTGGAACAAGGACAGGTGAGAGTTTACTCGAGGAGAGTTGGTGAGGGGAACTCTTTGTGGAAAACATTGAGGGACAGGATTTTAGAAGGAGGTAATTTTGTAGACACTCACTGAAGTCAAGAGTACATTATATATAAGAACTTGGGAGAAGAGATAGACATGTAGAGGAGTATTGTTACTGGGAAGGATAGTACTTGAGAAAATGTGACAGAAAACAGGACTACACAGGTTGAGATAGGGTATAAATGGTCTTATACTTCTTGTAAAGAAGTCTTCCCACTTGAAGGTAGGGATTTATGTGTGAATGTAGTCATTGGGCATAGTGTATGGCATGCTGCCTAATGGTCGATACTGTCTCAATTTCCTTCTTCATGGAGTCTGTGTTGTAAACTTACTAGTTATTAGCTGCTTACACTTACTTTCCTGATTTTCAAGGTCTCCTCTCAGGAGCCCTTTTCAGTTTATTAATTTAAATGGTAGCAATTTTCTTAGAGGTGAATCGCATAATGATTTTTTTCAATCTTTTTTAGAGAAGATAGCACTGAAAAAAGTATGATTAGATTCAATTCAGTTGTCTCCCACAAAAGTAATATGTAGAAAACACCATCCAAGGTGACTCTCTGTGTGCTTAATAGATAGCCTAAAGATTTAGGTTAAGGGTATAACAGAGAACTGTTCTGCTTAAAGAATGAAAAGGTGTTGCACAAATTATCTTAAAGAGCCAAAAACAGCGTCCAGTTCCTACTTGAAACAATTTGTTCTTGGAATATTGTCAGCTAAAATTGTGGTCAACTTTTGCAAATTGTATGAATTTGCACTGCATATTTTATTTAGTGTTTAGCAAAACTCCAATATGGCTCTGCATAACTTACAAAATACACCATGAAAATGACTTCAGAAACTCCCACAGAAGTTGACAAATTGGGCATCTAATGCTTTTAAGCTAATTGCGTGCTTAGAGGTTATAGAGTCCACTTGTTAAGAATGAATATCAGAGTTTCTTGGAGAGAATGCTCTGCCGACTGCCACACTGAATGCAACCCAGCCCTGTATCAGAAATATTGCAGAAGCTTAAAGAAGAAAATAATGTGAGCTTTAATCACCATTCTACTTAGTCTTAAGTGAAGTGCTCATGAATCATATGCAATATCATAGCAGTTTTGAAACCTATTCTTGAATTTTCAAGCTGTTATTTTCAGGAAATCTAGAAAGCAAATTGCTAAGTGATAAAGAGTAATCTGATACCATTGCTTATGCCATTTTTTTTCCTTTGCAGGCTGGAAAAAAGGAAAGGAGTAATACCCTGAATATTGCAATAGACAACATGTGCAAGAAGACAAGAGACCTACGCAGACAGGTGAGGGAATACAGAGGCGTGGAGACAGAAGCACCATACGAGATAAATTTTTTTCCACTGCTAGAATATTTACTTCTTGTTTTTGTCCTTTTTCAACTAATTTAGAACACAAAAGAACAACAGTAAATATATACCTTCCATGTTTACATTACATACATCATACATTTGTGGCAAATGTAAAGTAGAAGAAAGAGAGTGTGACTTAATATCAGGCAGACCTGGACACCTGGGTGGCTCAGTGGTTGAGCATCTGCCTTCGGCTCAGGGCGTGATCCCAGGGTCCTGGGATCGAGTGCCCGCATCAGGCTCCCCTTAGGGAGCCGGCTTCTCCTTCTGCCTGTGTCTCTGTCTCTCTCTGTGTGTCTTTCATGAATAAATAAATAAAATCTTAAAAAAAAAAGAAACTTAGCTTGTCATCCATATGCTTAAGGCAAACAGGTAATCAGAGATGTACCAATTTGCCCTTTCAGTTCTTTTCAAATGATTCAAAAATTAGTTGCTGTTAAAGCTCAGACTACTTTGTGATCTTAGGTCACCAGGAACACAGGATTAGGGAGGATTTCATTAAATAATTTAGAAGTCCAGTATTATGCCACAAGTTATTTTTTTTTCCCCAGAACTATGAAGACCTAGCTATTTTCAGAAACCTTTGCTTTCCATTATTTTCCAACTATATAATAACCAAAGTTCTTTTTCTTGCACAACTTGAACTTGGTCACCATTAACTCATAAAAGAAAGGCAAAAGATTTTCAACCATAAGCTTTTAATACAATATATTATTGTAGTTTAATGGGAGATTTAGTAAAATAGCCTGAGCAACCTTTTAATTCAGAAGTAGATTTGGAAATGGAATAAATAGGGATCCCTCAGTCCGTTAATATTAGCTGTAAAAAAAAAAACAAACAAACAAACAAACAAACAAAAAAAACCACAATTTTGAGGGCTGGGGAAATTCCAATTTCTCAACTTTATGGCCTTAATGTGAATTCTATTTCTATTGTCAGCACTTAGAATCATGGGATGTGAGAGTTGGAAAGAACATAGCTCAACTTGTGTTATAATGCAGATGAGAAAGCAGGCCTGTGTGGTGAGGTAACCAGCCTAAGGAGGAAGCAGCATCAAACCCATACAAGGTCATAACCTACACTCAAACTTACCCCAAGGGCCATTCTCCCTCTTCATTGAAAGACTTCTATTCTCAATCTTGTTAAGGATTTCTACTCCATCGGATCCTGTTGGGATTTAGAAAAGTTGCTTTATGAGCTATCAACAATTATATCTTTCTTTCCTGTCTCATCCCTCTGTACTGCCCTCAACAAAATGTTAATCTACATTTATACCCCCAAAGCTTTTTGAATCATTACTATAAAAAAAAGTCAATCCTTTATATGTAGGATTACTAGATTTAGCAAATAAAAGCACAAGATACCCAGTTAAATTTGAATTTCAGATTAAAAACAAACATGTTTAATTATGTCCCAAATATTGTGTGGGGCATAATTATATTTAAAAAAATAGTGTGTTTATATGAAATTTAAATTTGACCAGGCTTCTTGTATTTTATCTGGCAATTCTACTTGTGTTTCCACCTCACTAACATCAGTGAGATATGGAAAGAACATGGGGGATTACTAATACTTTTCTTTATAGTAAAGAGATGTTTCCAACTATAAAAAACTGCTGTGTTCCAGAAGTATGAACCTTCCCTATGGTCTTGTAGTTGAACATATTCATTGTTTTAAGTATCACTGCTTAACAAACCACTACAAACAATAGCAACCATTTTATTATGTTTCATGATTCCATGGGTTGACTGGGAGTCACCAGGGCCATTTTTGTACTTTTCACTTGTGGTCTCCCATGGAGTAGCAGTGAAATAGTGACTGTGTCTGGGTGCAAGCCTGGGTATTTGAGGCCTCAAGTGCCTCTTCTTCCCTCTTTTCATGTGGTGTCTAATTTCCTTAGGACCCTTTCATGTGAATTCTCTCTCCAGTGGGGTAACCTGGATTTCTTGCATTATAGTTCAGGGCTCCAAGAAAGGAGAAATGGAAGCTGCCAAACCTCCTTTAAAAAAAAAAAAAAGATTATATTTATTTATTCATGAGAGACACACAAATAGAGGCAGAAACTTAGGCAGAGGGAAAAGCAAGCTTCTTGTGGGGAGCCTGATGTGGGACTGATCCCAGGACCCCGGATCACACCCTGAGCCAAAGGCAGATGCTCAACCACTGAGCCACCCAGGTGTCACGCTGCCAGACCTTCTTAATGCTTAAGCTCCAAAGTTACCAGAATGCTATTTCTTTCTCATTCTATTGATAAAAATAGTCATGAATCCTGCCCTAAGTCAAGAGGAGCAATAGACCCTCAAGAAGTGATATGTGTGTACAGAATGAGTGGGATTGTTAGAATTTTGTCTCTGGAGACATCTGGGGTCTCTAATGTCAATGAGGTAGTTGCAATGGTTTGTTTCCAGTATCCTTACTTGCCCTCCCTTGGACTTCATTTTCCATCCTGATGTTTATACTTTTGCAATAATAAAAACTAGTTTAACAGCGACATGAGTCATCTCCACCTCTTCTTATTCTTGCAAAGTTTATCAAGCAGTTTGTTTTAAGCATCTTATATATATTCTTTTACACAGGAAGAAGAAAGTCCCTACCCTTAAAATGTTTTTCTTTGGAATATTTAATGTTCATAAATCATTGTGGATCTGTTTTTGTTTGCATGTTTGTTTTTAGTAAACAATAATCAGAAAACATCTTCTTGCTCTTTCATCTAACCTCCTTCCTTACTCAGGGCTGGCTTGTCCATCAGCAACACAGAAACATTTTGGATTTGGTTCAGAGAACCATTGGATTTCTATGAGATATTTCCATGAGATGGATTGCTTAGGCAGACCTATTGGTGGGGGGAGGAGCAAATTATAAATTTCATTTTGGGGCAATAAGATTAAATGACCTGGATGGTGACTTAGTGTTTATTTCTATGAACCATATTGCTTTGTAACTTTTTTGCCTGTCATCACAGAGAATGAAGACAGAAGTCTTTGGCATGGTGTTCCAGGTTCTCTATGATTGGGCTATGACTTTAATTGACAATATTCATAATGTTCTTTCTCTTTCACTCTCTCAGTTCTTCCTCTTCACCATACCACACATTAATCTGTTCTCTGGCTAAAGAGACTACTTACTATTCACCAAATTTTCTATTACTTTCAATTCCCCAAAACACATGTGTTTTTGTGTATATGGTTTGTTTCACTTAGTGCTTTTCCCACTCCTCTTGCTCCCTGCATCTCACCCCTAATCAACCTTAGGACCTTCAAGACTAATGTAAATGCTACTTCTCCCATGAAACCTTTACCGTTTTCATCAGCTGGAATTATTATTATTTTTCTTTCTGGAGCACTTATAGCATGTGTAGTTCTTTTATAGTAGTGATCATATCCTGCTTGTATTTTTCTTTTTTAATGGATTTTTTCCCTCCCACTGGATTTTAAATCCTTAAAATGGTAGTTATAACAACATCTCTTACTTAGTAGTGCTTTCCAAAGCTCTCTACAAACTCCTTACATTAGACTTTACATTATTGGCTTTTATTTCTGAAACAGAAAATAATTCCATAGTATTATTATCTCAATTTCTCAGGTGAGGGACACCTGGGTGGCTCGGTGGTTGAGCATTTGCCTTTGGCTCAAGTCATGATCCTGGGGTCCTGGTATCAAGTCTTGCATTGGGTTCCCTACAGGAGGCCTGCTTCTCCCTCTGCCTATGTCTCTGCCTCTTTCTGTGTCTGTCATGAATAAATAAGTAAAATCTTAAAAAAAAAAATCTCAGGTGAGTCAATTTACTGAATACCAATTAGTTAACTGCTAGACCTGAGGTTTGAACCTGAGTTCATCCAACCCAGCCCAAATTTGTAACCACCATATGGGGGTCAGAAATATTTATCCTCAAAACTCTCAGTGCCTAATAAACTGATTTTACCATCCTAAATATTTTTTTTCTTTACTACTTATTTTACAAGTTTTTTTTCATTAAAATTGTTTCTCCCTTCAATCTCCTTCCCCATCACTTATTTGAGAACTGAAAGACTATTACAATTCTCAATATGGGAAGAAGATTTTTAAACCTCAAAAAAAAAAATAAACCTCATTTCTCTGTTTAAAAAATTAAGGCCATTGAATATATTACATTTCTAATGTATTATGCAGAGTGAAACATACATTTGATATCACTAAAGGCAGGTTAAAATTTTCATTTGTGTATATTAAGAAAAAATTGCCTATTTCATATATACCAAAGTAAAGACTTGAGGTATGTCAAATTAAATAGGATTCTGATAAAACACAACAAACAACACAAAAACTTGTTAGTTGCTGAGTTGTTGAATTGCTCTCTGCATCTCTTCCCCATTTTAGTAGTATCAGTGCCACCCTTAGAAAAAAATATGTATGTCTTTATACCTCCTCGTCTTCATCCTCATAATCAAATAATATTAACAATCCATAAGATACAAGTATCATTAAGTTGACACAGTGGGTATACATTGAATTAATTATTAGGGTATTTAGTTCCTATTAGTCAATTGAGTTTTGACAGTCACATTTTGCTATTTGACTTAAAATTAAAATGGCATTAATATACACATATCTAATTTGTTCTAGCTCCCGAGGACAATTCTTTCCTAAGACAGTTTATTTTCTTTCCATTCCTCTTCCCCTTACAATTTCATTCTTTCTTATTCCTTTATTTAGTGGTAGTGGGGGCAGTGCTATCTTATAGTTTTCATACACAGCTTTCACTTTTGGGTTTCAGTTGTAGAGAAATATATTATTTTATTTGAGATCCCAACCACTTACATCAGTGGGAAATAGAAAAATTGATGTCTCAAAGCCTTTTATTAAACTGTGGTGAGAAAAGATGGAAAGCCCCGTAGTTTGATTTTGTGCCTGACATCTTTCATGCCTGGCCACAAACAGGTATTTATTGAAAATATATACCTCTACCTCCTATTGGCCTCCCACTAACTTCACATTTTAGTGCTGCAGCTTCTAAGATTGTCCTATTTTTACACTGGCATGTTGGATTCTTCTTTAAGGTTTTTTGTATATCACTTAGGTGAAAGGAATGAGTTGCTCCATTGGGTGGGAAAAATAATGTGGAAATAAATAAGATAGAGGCTTCTTACATATTATGCACAGATACAGAGGAGTATACAATTTAAATGAAAAACATCCCATATGTCAGAATATGCCAGAACATATGAAGAAAATTACTTAGCATAGTGTTTGAGGCATTCCATATCTTGTCCCTATTTGCATTTCTAGTCCTCTCTCATAGTAATTCCTCTCTAACAGTCAGCACAGAACAGGGGATGAGAGAATCAAATTCAGTAGTGTGCAGAGCAGAAGTGGCAACGTGTGATCATCAAGGGGTAGTTTATGTTAAGACATCAGAGTCTGCTACTTGGTACATGATCAAAAACATTATCACGAGACAAATGTGTCTGTTTTATATTGGATTACCATGAAAGCAGATCCTGAGACCAGAGCCTTAGAGCGGGTAGTTTATTTAGGAGGCACTTCTGAGAAACATGTGTAAGACAATATGAAGTGTAAGATAGCAGGCAGGGAAGGAGGAAGGAATATGCTATTCAAGGTTGCTACTGTAGACAGCAGGACCTTAAGGACCCCCAAAAAGGGAAAAAAATGCCTCCCAGAATTGTCTAATTGATGGATAGAGACCAAGAATTTTATCCAGTCACTCCCATCTCCACTGGTTGATGGTTGTTTCCAGTGGTATTTCCTCTTCACAACGTCCAGGGTTGTGCTTGGGCTGAGACTCTCATAGATACTTGGAGCACAGCCTAAGGAAGAATAACAGAGAAGCAGGGAATGCATTCCAAGTGGAATGTCTTGAAAGGACAACGAACTGTTCCCTTAAAGCAACAGCTGAAATCAGAGACGGGTCCAGTGGTTGAGACATCACCTTTTAATCTTTTTGTCTTACTGTTTTCTTTTTACCTGAAATGCTTTCCATTACCTCCATTATTCCTAAGAAATCCTGTTCCAGTCCTCACTCTATCATTGTGTTCTAGTCACACTAAATTCTTGTGATGTCTTGAGCATCTCTTTCTTTCTTCCTTTTTTTTTTCTTTCTTTCTTTCTTTCTTTCTTTCTTTCTTTCTTTCTTTCTTTCATCTATCACTTATGATAGTCTTTATTCTAAAATGTTATGCTTTCTACTTCCCAACTCCTACTCTTAACAGTTAATTCAACTTTTAAAATGGAATACATATGTCTCTTTGCAGAAGGCTTTTTAACCATAATGATCCAAGTTAATTGTTTCTTATTTGTCTGTGCTTCTTTTAAGATACTCATCAAACTCTCTTTGCACTTCTCACTCCCTAATATTATAGTGTCTTTGTCATCTTGACATTCCCAGGTTGCCTAGAATGGTGCCTTGGCCTTAGAGAGAAGGCTCAAAATGCATTTGTTAAACTGAATGAATATACAGCTATAGGAAAGAAGATTCATTCTGCTCATTATATTTGAATTATATTGTGTCAGCTAATTTCGGCCCATTTTCCAACAGAAGTTTGAAAACTTTGGCATAGAACTTATTTGTAAGCTCATTTTGCAGTCCTTCTGTCTTGTCCTACTGAACATAATATCACACCTCCATGGCACACCTTTTCTCATTTACTGTGTTTTGTACTTAGCAACATGCCTTAGAATAAAGTAAAAATATGTGCTCCTAACATGGTCTAGGTAAAATAATTAATTTAGCCAAAGCATTTATTCATTTATTTATTTATTCATTAATAATAAATCAGCTATAACTCAAGCTTCACCTTTGCAACATGTTTCAGCACTTCTGTATGGAATGAAGGATTGAAGGAATAGCAGCGAGATCATAGCTGAAAATCTTGGGGAAAAAAAAAAAGAACAAGGGATTAAATACCATTAAAATAAAGGGAAGACAAACAGTAGTACCATAGAGGGGAAATGCACATACTGTAGAAAATGTATCCAGTGCTGTAAAATTGCAATAATTATTCAAATATTTTTAAAAATTGGCACAATGTGGAACAACAGTTACTCTCTATCTCTCTAGATTTTTGTATATGACAAAGCAAAATTATTTTTTTAAAAAGCACAAGAGAACAGTTGAACTTTCTGGGTATAGTTGTAGATGGGAACATACATCAGTCTTTTATATGAGAAACAATCACTTTTTAAAACCTGTGTCTCAATGTAGTTAATACCTAGTCTTGCTTCTTCATGTAATAATCAAATTACTAGAAACATGAGGTTTTTTCTCACTCTCTCCACCTCCACTCATCTCCATTCATTCTTCAAACCATTGCAATAGGACTCCTGCTTCCATTTTTTCCACTCAGACTGCTCTCACTAAGTTAATCAATAACCCCTGAGTGATTAGGCAAGTCTTCTTTTTATTGAACCTACCTTTAAAATTAGACTCTGAAATTCATTATCTTTTTGAAATTCATTTGCTGTCAGTTCCCTGATTTTTCCCTTATTGTAACATTTAACGACTCCCATTTCTCTATTAGATTATAAAGGATCATGCATTTCCATCTTGCTATATTTCATAATGGCTTGCTCTTGGTTGAAAGATAAGAAAATGATGTTTATAAATAATTGTTGAATTGAATGGAATCAAATACACAGAAAAGAAGATTCAAATCCATAATGTGGGTACTATAATTGCATCTGGTAAGATAAGTTCATATGGCTAGAGCAGTGACATAGATTTATTTGAAAGTTTCTCTTAGTTGTTGGTCATTTGGTCTCTTTGTTTTTGGCCATCATCTCAGTTTTTTTTTTTAGATCCTACTCTCCCATCTGCATGACTCCCATATATGGAAGTATTTCCTAAGATTTTATTCTTGGACATCTTCTCACTATGCATGATCCTATCTGCCTCCTTGGCTTGAATTACCTCCCATATGTATGTTGGCTATTAATTGCATATCTTTAGTACAGATCTCCTCTTAGCCCTCCTTCAATATATCCTGGTTACAAATGAAAGAAAAAAAGAATAAAGGGGAGGGATCTAATTGAAAACTGTCCCGCCTCTGAGATTCCTTCTACTTTTACGTATCTGAAACTAACATAACTTGTAGTGCCCAGTTCAAGTCTAACTTGTGATTTGTTGCCTGATTTCTCTGGTCCACTCTTTATGGACATCAAACACATTATTCATTCACTCAAGGTCTTCCCCTTGCCTTGTAACTCCTTAGTACTCTGCACTCTGTCCTAGTAAGTGCTCAGACAATATTAATTAGTTGCTATTAGTAATTTGCCATTCTTCATGGTAAGCATATTCTTCCCTTGGGGATCTCCCATAACCTCTGTGAAGTTGTTAGAAGCCAGAAAATTTCACAGTTCTGGGTAACTAGGGTAACTGTCTATTGGTTTTAAAAAATACTCAAATAAAATTTTCACAGGGGAAAAATTATAAATTTCTTGTCTGATAGCTATTCATCTCTTTGTTTTATTGTATAAAGGTTATTAAACTAAATGAGGAGGTTGACTAAAAAACTGGGGAGCCATTCATAGTCATTGACACTGTTGAAAGACATTCTTCAAGACCCTTTACGACTCAATATTATATAAACACAATGCACTAATTTTCCACTGCAGTTTTAAATTTCAGAAAATATCTGCTGAATAGAGTAATTGCCTGATTGTCATTTATGAGCTTATACATAATCTAATTTAAAAGAACTAATTGTAGCAGAATGTTATACTTGTTTAATAATTTAAGGTGTAAGGGCAAGAACAATTAATGGAGATGAAGAAAATTGGACATCAAACTCATTTATTATTCTCCTTGCTCTATTAATCTGTTATCAACTGGCATAATCGGTGATCTAACTTGGTTTAATTACCATGAAGACTACAATTTAGCTAATCAAAATTTATCATCAGTTCCTCCAACAAAGTAGAAAACATTTCATAATTTTGTAATTATGAAAATACATGATGTACAATGTTGTTTGTACACATGCATAAACATCACTATAGTACAATTTCTTTGAGAAAAAATGGAGTATTGTCACTTATAATCTGACCTCTGGGCTAAGTAGAATTTAAGAAAAAAATAGTGCATTTTGATAACAAGAGAGCTATTAAATAGATCAATGTTTTTTTCCCTTGGATATTTCTTTTTAACTTTGTAAGTGACATTCTTACAGTCTTAAATATTATTAGTTTAGAGATTGTGTAAAAATATATAAGATGAATTTTGTAACTACGGAGATTGGAAAAATAGGAAATAACATGAACCATTTCTTGAAAAAAAAGTGAATTTTTTATTTCTCCTCAGCTCCGTAAGGCTATTATAGATCATGTGTCAGACTCCTTTTTGGATACGACAGTCCCACTTTTGGTTCTCATTGAAGCTGCCAAGAACGGCCGGGAAAAGGAAATAAAAGAATATGCTTCAATATTTCGTGAACACGCCAGCAGGCTTATAGAGGTAAGCATGTTAGAACTGTAACTACTCTAAATCCAGGAGAATGAAGCTCTCATTCCCCATTTACAGTTAAATTGTACTCAGATAAAAACTTTTGACAACTTATAACAAATGAAGCAAAGTTCAGTATTGTTTTTTATGTAGTTTTTTTTTTTAAGGCTACACACACACACACGAACTGGTTAAATGCAGATATTTTGTTTTATCCCTACAAATATTTTCTTCCTGTTCTAACGTGAAAGTATCAAATACTCTACTTCATGCCATATTATTATTCTCTACCGTCTTTTCATGGCTTTTTACCCCTTCAGCATGTCAAATCATATTCAACTATGTGACATGACTATAGAAAAAGAATTTCAGATATACAGGGGTAGAAATATCCAGAATAAATAAGTAGGGGTAGTGGGTTGACTCATCTCCCAGTAGAGACCAGAGGAGATGATAAAACTATAATCTCCTCTGTTTGGAAGCTGGAAGCATAGAAATGCCCTATGATTTGGGGGCAAGGTGGTATATTGCTAATAGAACCATAAAATGCTAGACATTTCCTAGAAAACAGATAATAGAACCTATTGTATTATGGGGATCTGTAAGGTAACCTCAGTTTAAGAGAGGCTGAATAGAAGGTTTTCTTTTTTTTTTTTTTTTGAATAGAAGGATTTCTAACACCAATAAGGTGACAGTACTCACAAGGCCAGGAACCAGTAGCAGAAAGGGGAAGTGTGTTTGACCAGATTCGTACAACAGAGCTGATATACTGCTAGGACTTATCAGTATGACTGCAGTGTTGTTTATGTCTAGTATCTGCTCTCATTGGCAGCGCTATGCCATGCTGGTTATTAAACATTCTAACTGCCACACCTTCATATACTGGTCATGAACTTTGTGATGAAACATGTTTGGGGGCTCAAATTGCTTATAAAAACTTGTGAGTCAGAAATAGACACCACCTAAGTTAGAATCACAGCATTTTATATAACATCTATTAAAATAGAGGACTTCCTCAATGTCTTTAATGTAGACCCACTGGGAAGGAAGTTTCCAATGTAGCTAGCATTTGCACTATAAACCCTCTGGTTCCTAGTCTTCACATTTAGAAAATGAAAGGAGTTGATGAATAGATAATTACTAAGATTATTTCAGCCTTAAAGCTGACTTCCCTTCAACTCTGAAATCTACTTTGAACTTCCCAAGGACTATGTGAGACAGGTTAACTGTTACAATTCCCACTGACCTGATATGGAAATAAAGGTACAAACTCAGACTAGGCTAATTGGAGCCGGACCTGATTTCCAGGCTTACAAATTTTAACTAATTCATTTGATTATTTATTATATTTTCCATCTTATTTATTCTCTCTTGTATTCATTCCTCATATGTATATTCAGTCTTTACCCGGGAAAATGTTAAAAGTAAGAGGTAAAGCAGAAGAAACAGGTCATTAAAAGTGAAAAAGGGTAAAAGTGTAGCCCCTGACAATCATAAACATTTTTTCTAATAATGTGTTCTCTCTAAGGTGAAGGTACACCAAATTATGAAAACAATTTTTTGGTGAAATATTCTGAAAGTAAAAGGTTTCTGCTAGATAAGTTGCATCCCTATTTCTATTTCTTCGTTTGGTGTTGAGCATGGAGCCTGACTCAGGTCTCAGTCTCACAACTCTGAGATCATGACATGAGCTGAAATCAAGAACGACACTTAACTGACTGAGCCACCCAGGTGTCCCGAGACTCCTAATTTTGTTAGATGCAGACTGGAAAAAATGAAAGTTTTTTTTTTTTAAGTATACTGCTTGCACTAGGTTGTTTATATATATCAAGAAGAAGAAAAAAAAAGAATACTGCATTTATCTCTCAGGAAAATTTCTTTTTGAGGGGAGCTGTCTAACCAAGGCAACAGAGAAAAATCATCATTAATTTACTACAAACATTGAGCCAGAAGTATCTGTGACAGAGTCCAGGGAAATAGGAGAGCTTAAATTTATCAGTTTTGAAGACATTGTGAGTTTACTCTGTATAGATTGCTTACTAATCCTCCACCTTTGCTTTCCCTTCTACCTCTCCATCAGGACTACTTAGACCCATCTTATTCCCAAGCTGGGTAACTTGACAGAGCAGGACAGAAAGTCTTAGATTCTAAATGACTTCAAGGAAAAGCTATTTTCAACATGTCTGGGTTTTGATACCTCAACTGTGTTTGTCAGAGAAATCTAAAATCAGTAAACTTGTTGCAGTAAGACTTAAATGGAAAGAAAAGTAAGTCCATTTTTAAAGAACTCTTATCAGATCATTCAAGAAAAACTCCATGCTGTTAAAGGAACACTATAGATAGTGGTTAAGATGGTAACTTTTATTAAAAAAAAAAATAGAAAAACAAACTAGATTTGAACACATAGCAAAAACAAACAAACAAACAAACCCACAGCATTAAGAAATTCTATGGGTAATAATTAGCAGCCAAAAGGATTTGGGATATTAGAAAAGAAGTGGGAATGAGGAACAGAGTGGCCCATAAATTGAGCCTGAACATTTCCATTCTCTACTAGGGTCATGTCTGAGGTCTCTTGTTATATTATCATGCAGTTTGATATAAAATGATCATGGGTGAAATGATGTTTATAAAACCCTATATAGTGTCAATCCCTGGAAAACCTAGATACTTATGGCTAATTTTGTTTAGTTATGCTGAACTAAGAAACTGCTATGCAAAGCTTATTCTACTTTGAACATCCAAGTTACTCTGTGTTTTTGGATCCACTAAGCCACCGTGAGAATAATAAGGAGTCAAAAGTTTGGCATTTAAAAAATTCATCTTCGCATTGTGATTAGTTATTTAATGACAAATGTGCTCATTTAATTATACTCCTTAGTACTTTGATCTTGCACTGGTGGTGAATTAGGGCATCATTAACTCTACTGACTTCCACCAATAATACCTATTAAACACGAAATTTAAAATATTAATTTTATCCTAAAATTTAAAATATTCACTAATTCTAGTGAGTAAGAATTTTATCTGTCATCACTTTGAGCCTATTCCGTTAGCTAAGTCTATGCAGCTAGTATTCCATGAATCTGCATTGAATGAAGGAACACATTCATAACACTAACTCACTTTTATTTCTCTCTAAAAAGTTATTTGGGGGATTCTGGTAACTGGATTTGGGACAATGTCTGAGCCCAGTTATTTAGTGGAGTGCCTTTCTATTCTTGAAAATAATTCATCACAATAATATTAACAAATACCTTTGCCATCAATTATCAGATAAGGCCAATGTTATAAATTCTACTCCAGATCTCCCTCATATGGAATTTGTCACAATTAGGTAACATTTTTAAAGAATTTTGCCCACGTCAGAGATAATAGTTTGTAACTTTAATGTAGTTATATAGCTGTTATTCAGAAGAAACTGATTGTATTCCAAAAAATGCATTGCTTATTACAATGGCTGATATTTAGTATTTCTTTAAAATCCATTTCTAAAACTCCACAATTATTTTTTAATACACTATGATTTGTTCTCAGCAATCAGTTCCTGCTGAACACTACATAGTTGCTACTGACTAAAAAGGTAAAATCTCCAGTTTATCTCATGGATTTTACTATATTAATTATCATTAAATGTGACGGTATTAATGATCTAGGCCTGAAATTTTTCTGTGAATTAGAGAAGTTTCTCTATGTGAAAAGCCAGCTTCATCAGTGCTTTGACTTATTCATCAAAAATTCATCTGTCTTGATGCACCTTATTTTAGTAAGTTTCATGGGAGCCTTTCATCAAAAAGGAAAAAGTGGGTGGACATTTAATTATAATACTTCCCTCCAACCTACAAAGCTGATTGTTCCCACTCACAAAATGGCGAGCCAGATTTAGCAAGGCCCCATTGCCAAGAGAGAAGGCTGTAGAGGGGACTCTTGCTGTTTGCAAGAAGTGCTCAGAGCTCTCAGCTCTACTTTTATCTTTGCATTTTGACAGAATCCTGTTCGAGTGTCACACATTGCTTTAATTGATGATCTGTTATCAAATAAGGATATGCTCAGTTACAAATAAATGAAGCTTTTAGAGTCCCATCTCATTCTTCCTCCTCCCCCCAAAAAAGAAAAAAAAATGAAAAAGAACAAACCCATACTTATACTTGTACACAAACCAACAACTGTTCTCAGTGAGCAGCTTGGCAGCTCTCCTCTTTTGATGGCAAAGAGATGTTATAGCTAAGTCAGGAATGCTTTTGCTTATATAGATCACAGGTGTGACTGCCCACTCCCTGGATTAGAAAACTGTTCAGCATCTTAATCCTCTTCCAGCTAAAGCTCACAATGAACATGATCCTTAAAACCCTAACCTGAATCCACAGTGAGTGACATTTCCCTGTTGGAGAGGTTTCTTTATAAATTTTCCATTCATAGTGTTTGGAATATAGGGATATGGGGAGTGAAACCATTATAGAAAAGTCAGAGACTTTCCATAGTTGGATGTAGGTATTTTTGAATGAGATATTCGTGTCTTGGAATTAGGAGGGAGAAAACTATATGGCATTAGAGTAGTTTGGGAATTTAGTTTGAAGTAAGCAATATAAGCAATATTTACACCAAAACTTACCAACTTGGCAGGAACTGGAGTTGAAAGACTAGAACTCCAAGTTGAAATTACAAGCGTGACTAAAGTCACAATGCTCAGTCCTATGTTCCAGGAATATTAGAGTAATGAAATCTAGATCACTAAGTTGGCTGAAGATGAAGGAGGTTGGAGGCAATTGATGAATACCCTAGAATATTTGATTGCCAGACTGAATAGGGTAGATTTCATCTTAGGGACTGGATGATCCAATATTGGATTTGGAAAGCTGCAGTTGCTTCTCTACACAAAAGGGTCTAAAGGGAAGCCATATTTTAGGAAAGTTTGTGTATGGATTATTTCATGTCGGGCTATAAAAATTTTCTAACCCCCAACAATTGATTAGAATCTCATGAACATAAACTGGTGTTCAAAAAAAACTGCA